TCAGTATTTTGTTTCGCATTTGAAAAAAAAACAGACTTAAAAATCATACCAAATTTTTTTCTTATTCCTTATGACTCCCATAACAGAAATTCACTTGAATTTTTAATTTTCATCAATTTGGTTAATAATGACAAGCTGTCCCCATTTACCCTAAGTTTTCAAATTTTTGGGGTAAATGGAGACAGCTTGTCATTATTAACCAAATTAACAAAAATCAAAAATTCAAGTCAATTTCTGTTATGGGAGTTATAAGGAATAAGAAAAAACAATTTGGTATGATTTTTAAGTGTTTTTTTCAAATGAGAGACAAAATACTGAAATAAAAAAAAATAAAAAAAATAAAAAAATTTCAATTGGTTCAACTATTATATATCTGCTACAAATTTTTTTCAAGTTTTTTCATCCCTTAATACAGTAATATACTTAAGGAAACTTTTTTCTTAAAACTTTCTTAGAAACTATACTGTCCCCATTTACCCCAAATTTTATGAAATTTTCTAAATTTTGGGGTAAATGGGGACAGTCAGTTTCATGCGTTTAAAGCTTATCTAAATTTTTTTCTGCTGCATAAAATTAATCCTGGGAATGTAAATAATAACTTAAAAAAAAATAAACCCGCAAATATTACCTTTTAAAGGAAGAAACTTACGTAATTTGTGAAAAATAGCGATTTTGTCCCCATTTACCCCAACTGACCCTATTTATTTTTGAAAAATAATAATTATGTTATTAATTTTAAAGATTCGACTATTTTTGACTAATTGCTGAAGCAAAATGTCAACCAAAATTTTACTTATAATTTAGTTATTTTTAACTAATTCTTATTTATAAACTAAAAAAAAAAAATTTATTTGATTCAAATAATCGGTTAGGGTCAACCGGGGTAAATCCGAACGCTTTTAGTAAGTTTCAACAATAACATAAGTTTTTTCTTTAAAAAAAAAAATACTTCCGGTATTCTGGTGCATGAAGTTGTTACTTTACTTCCATAGAACAATTTTATGGGGTAGAAAAAATTTTTGATAAATTACAATCGCAGGAAACTTAGCGTTCGTATTTACCTCGATAATTTGCAACTTTCCTAAAATACCGGGGTAAATACGAACGCCACTGTATTTCAGAAAAATCTTAGGGAAAATAAATTTAAAGTATTGCAATTGTTAAACTTATATAAAAACTCAAAAAAAATACGATAATAAACCTATTATGTAATAATGCATCATATATAAATACAAAAATCAAACAGGTTAAAAATTAAAATACATTAGACAATTAAAACCTTCAATAACTTTATCAAATCATAACGGATTTTTGCAAAACTTGCTACAAGAAAGTATTTTGGAGTGATTGAATGTAAATACAAAAATAAAAGTCAAATTTTTTAAATTCTAAATGGCGGATTTTCCTAAAACTTATTTTTAAAAATGATCAAATTTGCTAACTCCAAATTCGTAATCAGCGACCCTGAAACCCCCCGAGTAACAATTTTCGAGCGAATCCAATGAATTTTTTAATTCTCGTCCGCCATTTTGAATTTTGAAAAACTGACTTCAAATTGGTAATTAGCGACCCCAAAAACCGTAGAATACCAAATTTTATTAAGATCCTGAAAAACTTTTTTCAACAAACCATTTGGCAAAAAAATTGAAACACTCCTTCGAGAGAACAGAGATTAAGTTTCTGCTTATTAATTACTAACGAGGATACGTATAGAAAGAAAAACTTTTTTCTATGTACTTTTATAATGTAAAAATAATAGTGTAATGAAATAAAAACAATTTTGTGTGGCTTTGATGTAAAAAAAAATTATTAAAAATACCGTTCGGATTTACCCCGGTTTTCCAATTTTCCGGGGTAAATACGAACGGTCTGATATTATTAATAAAATTTTACATGAGGCAAAAATCAAAAATAGTTTCTGTTCTAGTATTCATAACAAAGAATTATAAATAATAAAATAAATTTTTAGCTTCTTTTTCTTCAAATACGAGACAAAATACTGAAAGAGTGTCATCTTTGATTTTCAATCTTTTTTGCAATACTCGTTATCTTTGTTTATGCTGTTGCTAATTAAGAAACGAAAAATGGGATAATACTTAGAATCTCTTGAAGAGGATCTAAGGTGAAATTCTCAAGTCTAACTTATTTTTTAAAATTTTAATTAAGCTGAAATAATTAGCGTTCGGATTTACCCCGGCTGACCCTACTTGACTATTATCCAAAAAATATTTACTTGAACCAAATAATTTTTATTTGAATTAAATAAATTGCATTTAAACCAATAATTTCTGTATTTGAAACAAATACCATTTAATTGACTCAAATAAAAATTATTTGGTTCAAGTAAATATTTATTTGATAATAATCAAGTAACCGAATGAATCAAATTTTTTTTTTCAGTGTAGAGATATAATATTTATGAATGTATTTGAAACACATACTATAATAATAATAATAATAATAATAATAATAATAATAATAATAATAATAATAATAATAATAATAATAATAATAATAATAGAATAAAAAAATATATTTAAATGACTCAAATAATAATGATTTATTATTAATATATATATTTATTTTAATATAATACAGTCAACTGTGAATAAAATTTTTTTTTCTTTCAACATTCACCAAGCTGATGCATTCCTTTATTTTTGAAAATATTTCGATGAATAGCAAATAATTATGCGTATAAAATTAGAAAAAAAAAAATTCTCAATTAAGTAAGAAAAAACATTAAGAAAATTATTTGCTGACACATTGCTTATGAATATTTTAATCTGATCAAGGACGTCAGCTACTTTCGGATGTATAATAAAAAAGAAAAAGAAAAAATATTAAAAATTGTATGCACCTTTGATACATAAGTGTTGGTTAATAGACATATTTAAGATACGCTTAAATATTATTAATGAAAGAGAAATAAAAGGCGCTAATAAGAAAATTATTATGAAATAAACCATAAAAAATTGTTCTTAAAATATATATATTTATCTCTCAAGTTCTGAATGCGAAAGTTTTTCATTTTGATTTAAATATGCATATTTTTTTTTTACATTCTCATCGTATTTAATTTTTATTTGAAAAATAACTTTAAAAAAATATTGTCAAATTTGACTAATTCAATTATTAAGCAAATGAAAATTTTTAGTTATATTTTTCTACTAAAAATTTGTAACTTCTTACTAATAATTAGTTAATTTTAAATAAACTTCTACTGTAATCAAAAAAAGTTTCTGATAATATTATAGACCAAAAGAAATTTTTTTTTTTGTTAAAGTAATAAACAATTGATATTTTTAGCTTCTGTTTTAAATTTAAAAAAAATTAATCTCAAGTTCAAGTTGATAAATTTAAAATTAAAAAAATAGATTTTTATCATCTTCAAATATGATATTTAAAAAGAATTTTTATTTTAAATAGTTTTTAAAAATATTTTTTAATAAAATGTTCATAAAAAAATGTGTTTCTGATATCCTGTGTAAAATTTAAATTTTTTTTTCTATTTCTATATTTAATAATAATTAAATAATAATGATGATTATTATTATTATTTTTAGTATTTTTTTTTATAATTTTTTTTTATAATAATGTATGCTGAAAATGAAACAATTTTTAAATTTTACATAGCACATAAAGAAAAATTGTTTTTTATTAATATTTTATTTAAATTTTAATGAGCCAAAAATTTTGAACGTTCAAATGAACGAAATTTTTTTTGCAACTTCTTTAAGTACGAATTTTATTAAAAAATATTGTTTTAAATATCAAAAAAAAAGTTATTAATTTAATAATTGTTTAATTTACTGTTTTATTTAACATTGACATTATAATTTTTAATAATTTATGGATTGAAAAAAAATATTTTGTTCATTTGAACGTTCGGAACTTTTGGCTCATAAATTTTAAGGTTATGTTCGTTTATTGGTTAAGAACTCTATGTCCTTGAATTTTAAGGTTATGTTTGATCAATGACCTTGAATTCTGGAGACCTAGGGACTTTGAATTTTGAGGTTATGTTCGTGTTAATAGTATATGGGTCATTGCATGTCAAGAGTAACCAACCTAACCTTGTCAAAAACATGGGTTATTTATTTTTTTTATTTAAAACAGCTGAAAAATTTCAATTGTTTATAACTTTAACAATTTCTTTATTCTAATATTTTTATAAACTTATTTTGATCACAGTAGAAATAAAAAAAAAACAATTAAAAAGTTAAAAATTAAATTTATTAATTTTATATGATTCCAAATGATCGATTATTTGATAATTTTATCAAATAAATATTTACTTGAACCAAACAAATTTTTATCTGAATTAATTTAATTGTATTTTAACCAATAATTTTTCTTTTTGAAACAAATACAATTTAATTGACTCAAATTTTCACCAATGCTAATTCACATAGACGGTGGCGCCTTCAACTAGGATAAAATTTGTTGCAGGTAATTTTTATACCGATTTTGGGGTAAAAATTCTACTTTTTTTTCGTGTGTTATAACGTTTATGATCAACGATTTAGATGAAAAAAATATTTTTCTATTCAAATTATTCTAATTTTTTTGTCGACATTTATAACATTTATCGATCAACAATTTAAAAGAAAAGAATTTGAAGGCAAAAAAATTTATTATACTTTCCGGATGAAAATTATTTTTTTTTTTAACGTTGTGAACTTCATCAACGTGATTAATTTGAATCAAATATAAATTTTTTCTTTAGTGTAGAGAATATTTGAAAAAATAAATAAATAAACATGAATTCACTGATATTTATATAAATAAATAATAAATGTTAAAGAATTTGCATTCTACTATGCCAATAATATTTCCCAACTTCTCCCTTTAATTTGATTATAATCGTTAAGCATTATGAAATATATCCTTTATAAAAAAATAAAAAATTATAAATCCTTCATATTGACAAGAGAAGGGGATTTAATATAATCTCTAAGCAAACCAGATCTGCAATAATTATAAATAGTATTAAACAACTTGTCTCAGAAGATGTCGTGTTTTAATAATTCTATCCAAACTATTTTAATAGTACATTTTTTCTATAATTTTTCTATATTTCTTTAAATTTAATAAATCAACAATGTCAACGACATTAAGGGTCATTGTATTAATTTTATTCTTCTTATTTTTTGAATTATTAGAAACATCATCGGATAGAAATTCACGTTTTTTAAATTTGAAAAGTGTTAAAAAATTTATCAACAATGGTAATGAATTTTCATCAAAGGAACTTGATGATATTACACCATTGTCAAATTCTGAATATGATTTCATCATTGTTGGTGCCGGTAGTGGAGGTGCAACTTTGGCAAATAGACTAAGTGAAATTAAAAATGCAAAAATTCTTCTCATTGAAGCAGGAAGAAGCGAAAATATTGTTATGGATATACCAATATTCCCTCATTTTCTACAATTTAGCAATGACATTAATTGGAAATATCAAACTGAATCGTCTGATAAATATTGTTTGGCAATGACAGATCATAAATGTAATTGGCCACGTGGCAAAGTAATGGGTGGCAGTAGTGTTTTAAATTATATGATTGCAACAAGAGGCAATCAAAATGATTATAATTCATGGGCAAAAATGGGTAATAAAGGTTGGAGTTTCAATGATGTTTTTCCCTATTTCAAAAAATTGGAAAATATTTATAATCATGGACCAATTAGCATTGAAAATTCACGTTATCGAACACCAATGGCAAAACAATTTATTGCTGCCGGTTTAAAAATGGGTTATAAAATTATCAATTACAATAGCAATGATACAATGGGTTTTGGATATATACAGGGTACAACGAAAAATGGTGAAAGAATGAGTACAAATAAAGCCTATCTACATCCAATACGTAATAGAAAAAATTTATCACTCACACGTGAGTCATTGGTTGAAAAAATTTTAATTAATCCAACAACAAAGCAAACTAATGGCGTTTCATTTATTAAAAATGGTGAAACAATAAATGTTTATGCCAAACGAGAAGTTATCATTTCAGCTGGTGCGATTGGATCACCACAATTATTAATGCTCTCTGGAATTGGTCCAAAGGAACATCTCAATGAAATGGGTATAAATTTAATAAAACATTCATCAGTTGGTGAAAATTTAATGGATCATGTGCCATATGGTGGTTTAATATATATTGTTAATCAATCAAATCCTTTTCTTTTGCAAAATCTTATTAATCCATTTTTTCCACATTTGGAGGATTATTTAGAGAGAAGAGATGGAGCTTTTACAAGTTTTGGTGGTACTGAAGCTATTGCTTTTATTGATGTTGATCGACCAGGTGATACAACAAGTATACCAAATGTGGAATTTTGTTTTGCTGCTTTAAGTTTAGCATCAGCTTCAAATGCTTATAAATTATTTAATCTTTCGGAGGATTTTTTTCAAAAAATGTACAAAAATTTATTATCACAATATACATGGACAATATTACCATTTGTTATGCAACCAAAAAGTAGAGGAAAAATTCTTTTGAGAAATAAAAAACCTAACAGTAAACCAAGAATAATGCCAAATTATTTTGATGATCCTGATGATATGAGGCGAACGATAAAAGCAATTAGAATTGTTCTTGATATTGGTAAATCGGAGGAAATGAGAAAATTTGGATCTGAATTGTATCATGTACCAATGGTTGGTTGTGAAAAATTTTCATTTAACTCTGATCAATATTGGGATTGTGCTGTTAGAACTTTTACTTCAACTATTTATCATCCTGCTGGTACTTGTAAAATGGGTCCAGAATGGGATACAACAGCAGTTGTTAATCCAAGATTACAAGTAAGTGTATTAATAAATTTAAATAATTGACCTTTTCTGTTTTTTTTTTATATTTTTATAAAAAAAAAAAAAAATTGAAAACTGTTATCCAAATTTTTCTGTTTTCAAACTTTCTCTCCATTAAACAATTTTTAAATAATAATTTTTTTTTTATTGTAGGTTATTGGTATTAAAGGTTTAAGAGTTGTGGATGCTTCTATAATGCCAGAACTTCCATCAGGACATACAAATATTCCCACGATAATGATTGCTGAGAAAGCAGCTGATATGATAAAGGAAGATTGGAATTATCCCATTGAAAAGTTATAAAATTTTAATTCATGTGAACTTTTGTATATATATAGACGAATAATATATTGAAATTTATATTTAAAATTAAATCAGCTAATTATTAACACTAAGAGAAAAAAAATTATAAATATCTTTTTCACAGAAAATCTATTAATATTTTAGAAAAAAAAAGTTTTATAAGTTTAAAATATTAAAAATTTCTTGCTCCTTGGTTTTTAATTTAAAACTACTTCTTTAATAATTTAAATGTAGTTTGGATTTTTTTACTTCCTCAGTTGTTAATCAAAAAATTAATTTTTTAACAACTTAAAAGTGGTTTAGATTTTTTTTTCCTCTTCGATTTTTAATTTAAATCTATTTTAGTTTTTATTAGAAATCCGAGGAGCAAAAAGAATTCAAACCACTTTTAAGTTGTTAAAAAATAGCTTTAAATTAAAAACTTAGGAGCAAAAAAATCCAAATAACTTTTAAGTTATTAAAAAAAATAGTTTTCATTTAAAATCCGAGGAGCAAAAAAAATTCAAAATTCTCTCAAGTTTTAAATTAAAAACCGAGGAGCAAAAAAAAATCAAAAAATATAAAAATTTTATTGGGCCAAGTAAAAAGTTTGGCTACACACAAAAATATAAACTAAATATATTTATTGTTGTTAAAGAAAAATATTTTTCTCAATGTTTTTAAAACTTATTTGTAAAAATTATAAAAAAAATCCATTTAATTTTTAAATTAAAAACTTGGAAAGTGTCATTCATCTTCAAATTGAAATGCAATTTTCATTCGTCATAAAGAGAAAACTATATTGACAAGTGCCACATTATTATTTAATGCGGAAGAACAAACTTTGCTATTAGGTCAACGATTCCAGAGAAACCTGTTATGTAAAAATTTTATGACGTTAAAACAATCTGTGTTCACAATTTGTTCAAAAAACGTTAATCGATTGTTTTACTTTTTTTTTTAAAGTAAAACACTTTATATTTAAAACGAAAACAAAACTAAAAATTAAATTTCTTTTTCTTAAATTAACATTGAAAAAGTAACTAACAAAACTGATGTGTTATTGCAAAAAAAAAAAAAAAAAATTATTTCCGTAACGCATTAAAATTGTTTTAATAACAAATAAAACAGTTGAGAACAAAAAAAATTTGTTACAACAAAATATAAAAATCAGATTTTTAAAATCTGTTGTAAATTCATTTTTTTCAATGTAACAATTCTTTTTTTTTTTTTTATTCGTATAGCATTTCAAATAAAAATCGCAACAACTTTCAAATTAAAAGAAGATAAACTTATTAGCACTTAAGAAAGTGTAAATACAAACACGTTCACTTTTTAGCAAGCTTTAGAAATATTTTAAATATATCAGAACAATTTAACGGCAGTTGGTAAAATAGTGAAGGTAAGTTTTATATATAGTGAGTAAACCCTTTCACCACTAGATGTCTCGTCAAGTCGCAAAATCGACAGAAAGAATTAATTTTGCTTTTACTTTTAAAAATTCATCCAATATAGAATCTGTGAAGAGGGCAAGTTTTTTTTTTTTTTTATTATCGCAAATCCGTTATGGCAAATAATAAAAATTACAAAAAATTGAACTGATTTCTGCAATTAAATATATCTTTTTTTGAGGGATTTTAAATCCAAACAAACTAACATTAATTAGTAGACATTCTAAAATTTTGTAAATTTAATTAAATGATTTTAAGATCCAAATTAAGTGGCGATGATAATCATGCGTCTTAACCACGCCCCCAAGAGAAATACCGAAACCATTTTCCCAACTAGTGAAAATAATAATTTCAGCCAACGCTCATTTCACTGTGAATGCACTGGTTCTCGTCAGTGACTTCAGACCCATAACTCTTCTTCCTAATATTAGTAAAGTATTTGAAAAAATAGTAAAAGATTCCCTAATACTAATATGCGCGGAAAAAAATATTATCCCAGAACAGCAATACGGTTTTAGAAACAAACATTCCACAATACACGCAATTAACAAATTGACATCAGATATCACCCAAGCCCTTAACAATAAAAAATACGTAGGAGCTTGTTTAATTGATCTTGAAAAAGCTTTTGATACTGTTTGGTCTAATGGATTAATATTTAAACTATTAAAAAATTCCTTTCCTAAACATCTAATAAAATTGTTAAAAAACATGATAACAAACAAAAGTTTCATAATAACGGATGGTAACATAACATTAAAAAAGAAATTTTTAGTAAAAAACGGCCTCCAACAAGGAACAGTTCTATCACCGATATTATTTAACATCTATATTTATGAAATACTAAAAATGTATGATATAAATATAGACGAAAATAAAAAAGGAATCGCATTTGCAGATGATATGATAATTTACGTTATAGGTAAAAAAGTCACAAAAATACAAAAAATACTGCAAGAGCTTTTTGAGAATGTTCAATATTATCTTTACACGTGGAAACTAAAAGTAAACGTCTCCAAATGCGAAACCATATTCTTTAGAACTCCCCTTTCAGAAACAAACCGCAATGTTAGAAAAAACTGGAAAAATTTCCAAATAAAAGAAAAGAAAGACGACGGTGAACCAGTACCAAATAAAACAATTGTAAAATATTTAGGACTTAATATAGACCATAAACTCAATTTTATAAAACACATTAACACACAGTTAGAAAATGCAAAAATAGTTTTTAACAAATTAAAAAGATTATTTTATAATAAACACCTACACTATAAAATAAAAATCAACTGTTATATGTTATTCATAAGACCGATATTAACGTATGCATGCCCTATTTGGTACAACTTAAGCGCATCCATTATGGAAAAAATCAGATTATTTGAGAGAAAGTGTATAAGAGTATGTCTAGGAAAATATAGATCACCTGAATCAAACTTCCAGAAATACATATCAAGTAAAGTTATTTACAATTTAGCCAACATTAATAAAATTGATACACAAATAATTAAAATAACAAGAAATTACTTTGCAAATACTCGCAAAGTAACTGACAACAGCCTCATTCATTCAATCTGTTACCCAAATGATAACTATTTTGAAAATGTAATAAAAACTAATTTTGTCCCACCTGAAGCATTTACCTACCTAGACAAGAATGGATATATACAGGACACTCATGGTGCTCCAGTAATATACCATTATAACAGAAATGCTAGGAAAAAATCCTTCCTTTACGAAAAACACTTAGATACACAAATACCAAATGATGAATGGCGATTTAAGACATTTACAACAAATAAAGAAATGAAAGACAAACACAGACAAAACATCAAAAAATATTTTTGGTTAGACGACTAATATAAGAATCTTATCATAATAAATTTAAATTTATCATAAATTAATGTATTAGGAAATAAATTAACATACTAGTTACACTATTGTCATCAATTATTAATTCTGTACTTTAAAAATTATAACTCTTTATCTGTAAAAGAAAATCATCGATTAACACATGTAAATACTCTTAGATTATAAGTTAGTTTAGATTTACTTTTTTTTTTCCTTTCTTCCTTGTTATTGTTAAAATTCATTATTATAAATAATATAGTTTATTCAGGTTTTTAATTTATTTTTATTATTATTCTTAAAATAAAATAAAATGTATGAATGATCAGTTTTATTAAGCCCTTTCTGATCGAAAAAAATATTTCAAATGGTATAATTCTCTCGGGAATTAAAAAATAAATAATATGTGTTAGAAGCGAAAAATATTCAACTCATATATGCATTCGTGGGCATAAAATATTGTATGCGACTTCGAGAGCAATTGTATTAGCCAGTAAGTCCTGTAAAATAATGTAAAATGAATTCATTGTTTATTGTGAAACCTTGTACTATTATTGATTTTGGCAATAAATAAACGATACAAACGCAAAAAAACGCAAACGCACTGGTTCTCGTCTGATCACCAAAGTTAAGCACAATTGAGCGCGGTTAGTACTTGGATGGGTGACCGCTTGGGAATACCGCGTAGCGTTGGCTTCCTTTTTTTTTTTTTTATTAATTTTTTATAAAATTGTTATTAATTTTCAAAATTATTGTACAAATATTATTTTATTTCTATTCTACTTTATTTCAGAGAGGCTAGGGAATTTTATATATAATTTCGACCTTTATAGAAAAAAAAAAGGTTTACGTATTTTTTTATAAGTGCTCAAATTTTCGAGTTATGTATATTTAAAAATCTGATTTTTTCGAATTTTTTAAAACAAATTAAAATATATTTTATTATGAAAAATAAAAATAAAACGAAAAAAAAAGTAAAAAATTTTTTTTAAACAAATTATATAAACAAAAGGATTATTAGGCCCACTCCAAAACTTATTACAAAATTTTCTTATTATTTTCATGTGTGTAAAATTTAAAAAAAAATTTAAAAAATCGCGCCCAAATTTAAAAAAATTTAATTTGTTTATAAAAAAATTGTTATTTTTTCTAAAAAAAAATTCAAAATTTTTTTTGTCGTTAACTTATTTTAAAAGTCGATGAAAAAACTAAAACTTTTTTGTATCTTGGTCATAATTCCTAAATTCAATAATTTTAGAGTTAGATGTCATTGAAATTAGGTGTAAGATCACATTTTGCGGAAAATTTCGTTGATTTGAACGAAAAAAAAATTTTTGATTCATATGTATTTACATAAAATAAACCACAAATAATGGAACGATACAGCCAGTCAAGGTATTAAAATAAAAACTTCACAAAGTTTTTAACGTTTCGATAACCATGTGTATCATCATCATCAGAATTTAATAAGATGTCAACAAAACTAAAAATAATACAATGTAAAAGTAAAAAATATAAAATACAAAGAATACAAAATACAAAAAAATAAAATAAATAAAATACCAAAAAAATAATACAAAAAAGCAAGAAATAAATAAAAAATTAAAAGTTAAATAACAAAAAATAAAAAATAAAAAAAATAAATCATACACAAAAATAAATCATCATATGTATTTGTATCAAATAATTTTTTTTCTGTGTAACAATTCTCTATGAATTTTTATTTATTCCTCACTTGCTTACGAATGAGCTTTTTGAATTTTTGTATTTCCGTATAATATAATAAAAAAATAATA